TTCAAGCTCAATGTGATCTTTGTGGCAAGTGACATTCAATTTAAATCAAGCTTCTTAAAACCTGTAAAAGATAAGTGACACCTGAGACTTTTAAAGTGTTGCCTGAACCCCTCAATTCTCTCCCCCGGCACAGAAAAATCTAAAGCCTGCCCTCTTCTACAGTAGGTTAACACATGACACAAAGCTTTTCAACCCTCCCCATGTATGTCAAACAAATCCGCTCCAAGAAGCAGCCTCATGCAGCGGCCAGCCAGAATGACATTTTGTCTTTTATAAACCTGGCAATTTCCCCCAGAAAACGAATGATTAATGCTGAATGGAGGAGAAAAGGTGTGTAACGCTTTTCAAATCAGCAGACTCTGTAAAAGGGAGACCGCTAATTACATTGCTGTTTGTATGACCTCTGCTTAAGTGCATGAAAGCCTCCTACAAATGACAGGTGAAATTGCATTTTCAAGTAACATTTTAAAGGTCCGTGTGGGCACTCTGCCTAATAAAGCCATTTGTAAATGACTCCTCTTTTAGACTCCATTAGGAAGTGGAGCAAGGAACATTTCGTCATAGGATTCAGAGTCAATAAGCATGTAATCAGGACGTCCAGAGAATGTAGCAACCAGTGAAGGGGATAATTAATGAGATTGCCTTATGAACTGCTTAATTACTGACTGTTGGCCTCCTCAATTGTCCCTCCAAGTGCTGCATTTGTTCCCCAGTTGCCATTATGGCCTGATTGACAGAGGTGGCAGCCATGGGAGAGAATCAAGACATCTGAGAGTATATTAATTGGCTATTTACACACGGAAAACCAGGCTGTGAATTACTGTGACCAGTAATTAATATGTCTAAAGAGGAAAGGTCTGGCTGCACTGAGTAAGCTTTGCAGTGTAAACATGATGTGCATGCGGTCGTCAAATAATCTGCTTCCAAATAATGAAGCAATACAAGACACAGATGTTTAGATAGTTATTATTGTGTTTTACAAAATGTTTACTGGCTTTGATGTGCATGTGCCCATCTGCTGATGGCTGATGGCCAACAGAGCTGGTGGTCTTTAGGGAGTCCCGAGCAATAGGAGGAATAAAATAATTGAACTTTTATCACATGGATATTAGAAGTTGGAACAAAAAGTTAATAAATAGAGATGTTGGATTTACAGAATTGTAATTTATAGTGATCCTAGTTGATCATTGTTTTACTCTGAGGAGAAAATTACTCAGAGGGGTTTCCTTAAGACAAAATTCTCTTTTAAAATTGGGGGTCCATGGTCTAATGTGCATCTATTATTGGGGGTCCTTGACATGTAAAAGTTTGGGAACTCCTGTGTTAACATTCAGGCATTTAGTCATTTAATATCAAGTGAAAATTAACCATACAGATTAAAACAAGATTTTAATACTCTGAAAGTGAAAGAAAAACAAACTAATATATAATACAAAATGATATAAAGCATTTAATAAGAGATTTTATATTATAGCAATTATATATTATGATATATGAATAATGCACTTGCATATTGCCAGGTGCATTATGCAATTTGCAGAAGCATGAGAGAACAATTACAGACTTGAAATTAAAATAACAAAATACAACGGAACTATGTCCACACTCACAGGCACACACACACAGGCATACATTTGTCTCCTTGTTTGATCATTTGCTTAATACCCAGGAAGGATAAAGAACAAGTAGTAAGATTTACGGAGGGGTTAAAGGGGGTTAAAGCATGTGAGAGTCAGGGAGGAGAACCAATCCCAGGTTTTAGAGTGCATGTGTGTGTATTTGGGATGTGTGTGTGTGGGGGGGAGGGGGGTTATTCAGACCCACATGAGTCCCTGTACCTCCGGGGTCCAGGTCTTGGCTTTGTATATCCTGGCAAAAAAAAAAAGGAAAACACTGCGTACACTCAACAGGGGTGGAACTGAAAAACAGCCAACCCCCCTCTCCCTCCGGTGGACAACACACACATACGCAGCCAGTTAACGGGTGTGTGTGTGTGTCTGCTGACCCGAAATGACCTGTCTTTTCTGAAGGCAACAAAAGTGGGAGTGAAAGAGGCGTGAGATCATACACATTTAAATCAACTGGATGAGTGCTCTTATTCATGTGATACCCAGTGGGGTGAACACTGACAATGTCCTGCTTTGTCACTGCCTCCATATTAGTCCAGGACGGGCTGACGTGGCTGCAGTAACTGCCACACTGCTGAGATTAAATCATTGTTTTTACACGGTGACCATTCTCAATGTGTGCTGTAATTAGTTCAATACCTGTTGTGCCGACTGAAAGGACTGACTGATTGATTACCTGATCCTCAAACTGTCCACTTCTTCAATGGAACTACAGTTAATAATTTAGCACTTTGTATCTTGTATTGTTTAAAGTTACAGCAAGTTAAAAAATCTAATGTAGATGTTTCTAAATTGGAACTGTAAATCAATCAAACCAATATTGGAAGCAGACTTAATGTATTTTAACAATAAATTCCACATTGCCTCTATATTACCAGGGGGTTTTACCCATAGGACCCCAAACTGTTCAATACTAAATTAATAAAAACAAAATTTTGAAATAAATAATCCTATGGAAAAATTTGTGAAAAATTTGAAGAAATGAAAACTCAACTCTCAATTATGAAATGTTATATCATCATTCATTTACATAGTTTTATTGGATATTATTCTTACTTTATTATTATTTTAAAATGCCCGTTAGGCAAAAGTTTGTTGTTATTTTATAACAGTAACTGTCACCACCCCCTAACTTTTCAACTACCCCCTGACTCCTCATTTATGTATAATAAGACCAACCCATTCTCTTTCCCAGGTTGGCAAATACAGATGCTTTGTCACCCTCCTTAGGCTTCTCATACAGAACAAAAATATAACCAAATCATTACAGTGTCTCAGAAGTGCTATTAGCACGCCCTGTCCCAGGCCCTCCTAAAATTCCCATCAGCATTATTGAATCTAACTAACATGTGTTCAAATGATACTTTTTCTAAAATAGATGATCGTTCGGGCAGCTGTGACCACCCTGACCTTTATCACTGTAAAGTCATTCTGATTTATTGGGCATTTCTGTAGCTACTAAACATAGTCTAGGTGACGCAGGTAAATGGTAAATGGTAAATGGACTGCACTTATATATCGCCTTTCTAGTCTTCAACCACTCAATGCGCTGTACACTACATGCCACACTCACCCCATTCACACACATTCATACACTGATGGCAGTGGCTGCCATGCAAGGTGCCAACTGCTCACCAGAACTGAATCATTCATACACACTCACACACCGATGCACAGCATCAGGAGCAATTTGTGGTTCAGTGTCTTTCTCAAGGATACTTCGACATGCAGCGAGAAGAGCCGGGGATCCGCCAAACGGTCCTCAGATTTTTACAGATATCTTAATGTAACCTGTTAAAGGTTTTGTAGAACAAAGCTGCCCTGTGTATTGTGTTTGACTGATTATTACTGTGAATTATTTTAGTCATGATGATTGTGTAGGGAAAATCTGATATAATGACAACCCTAGTCTGTATAAAAGCTTTTTTAACATGTAGTCAACGTTGTGAAACAGTCACACTTTGGTTAGGTTTAGGGAAATAATGTGGTTTGGGTTAAAATAACTGTGTTAAATGTTACTTAAATGTTAATAAAGTATCTTTATTGGGTTGACAATACACAATATACATACAACTGAAAGTATGACACCCAGTTTTACATTGTTAAACACAAGAAACATGTGACGCATTTAACGTAACTTAAAACTTAAATTAACTAAATGTTTACTTTTGTGTGTGTTTGTTTGAATGTAGACGCTATGAGCCGAGCAAGAGGAACACTACTTTTGTTACTTTACATTAACATTAAAAACCTTAATTAATAACTTTCTGACTTTATCACCTAGTTCCGGAGCTAATATGAAAGTAGCTAGTGAGCCATCGTGCTTCCTTCTCATCTCTGTTAAGAGATGAACATGCACAGTACTGGGCAGGAGGTACAGATCGGGCGCTGACCCTTCTACCTGCCTCTATGGAGCTACTAAACTCAGCAACCGCTACTACATGTATCCAGTTAGCTCCTGTTTGCTAGAGCAACGAACACAAGTACAGACTGCTGCTGTAAATAAACACACATTCACAGTACATGAATCCTGTCTAAGCATTTGAGTCTTAGCTTAAAAGTAGCTAGATAGGTTGCTCATGCTAATTGCTAGGGAACTAGCAAGGCCTTACTTGTTCAGAGGCAGAGGGCATGTGATTAGCTGGAAGGTGAGAGGGTGGTACAAACACCAGTGTTATGAAAAGTCACATAATGAAATAAAGTGTCAGTATAAAAGTGTCATTGGTAACGAATGCCATTATGAAATAAAACATTATGAAATCAAACTGTCATTGTTGCTTGTTTTGTTTATGTGATTTTTTTATGCAGTCTTCATGTTTTTCAGTTTCATTTTAAATCTATTGTTGTTTTTTATCTGAATCTCTGAATATGCTGTTGTCTTGGCCAGGACTTCATTGTAAAAGAGCTTTTGAATCTCAGTGGCAATATTCCTGATAAAATAAAGGTCAAACCAATGACCAAATAATCATCATCATGTCATTTTGCACGCCTAATGATTAATTCATTGTTGAGTGTTGTAGATATAGCTTTTTTTTTTTTTGGTGTGTTGTTGTGTTATTACCTTTTTCTTTTACTTTTTTACTGATGTGTCTTTGAGTTTCTTGAAAAGCGCTCTATAAATAAAATGTATTATTATCATTATTATTATTAATATTATTATCAATAAACATCATAATAATGAGTTGAGTTTAAATAATTTCTTAAACGGATTAAAAAATATATTGCTTCATTAATATACATTTAACAAAATCTATGTATTTAACTTTTTTCATATTTATTTTATATTGAATACATTGCTCCACATTGACTTCTTACTTACTTGAAAAACATGACTTACATTTTAAAATCATAAAAAGGGGTTTATTTTAAATCACACATTGCGTCATTGCACCTAAATTATCAGTGTGTCTCAACATTCTTTTATTGATTCGGTTAATTCCACAGCACAAAGGTTATATTTGAGGCTCTGCACTGATGAAAACATTAATCACATTTTGAATGTTTCCCTTCATAGTAATTTTTTCTACATCTACCAATGCTAACTGAAACCCCAAAACCACAGAAAACTACTTGAAGCTCTTTTACTGGAAAACTGTTTGTTGTTGACAGAGCAGGTATGAAGGACAAAATGCACCAACATAGGGATGTATGAAAACTGGTAACACGAGTTATCAGTGCCATGAAAAAGCTACTTTCTCCGAATCGAGTGAGCTAGACTGCTTAATCGCCAACTACATCGCTACCCAGTGTGTGTCTCAATGTATTTATAATTATGAATATAAACTTTTATAACAGTAATATATATTACAATAGACATCAATGATAAATACATTTGCAAAATATGAATGAATGAAGTAATACGAACACCACTTCACTAAAACCAGAGACCAGCTTTTTCACATTTATTCACACACTACATTTTCACTTGTCAAACACCTGCTTAGTGGGTCAGAAAGTCAAAACAAAAAAGAGAATAAGATGCATTTTCAGATTTATCCATATAAGCGTGAACATTGCCTTAGTTATACCCTCCTAATTTCAGAGCCAACCCTCCCAGAGACAGGAAGTGTCGGACTCAGGGGGTGGCTTGCCCACTTGAATGGGAGCATTTGCTCTTGGAGTCGGAAGTCCCTCACTGGTGTGTGGATCCCTGCTGGAGCACCCGAACGGGCCTAAGCCCCTCTTTTCTCGCTGCCCTCCCTGTGGATTAAATGGCTTTCGCTCCCCCCTTTTTCCTTCGCTTGCTGTCGACGGGAGTAGCATTTCACTTCTTCTTCCAATGTCCTCAGCAGATGAGGCAGCAGTTTTCAGTTTTTTTTCTTGCTCACTTGGAAGAAGCAAATGACCAGCAAGAACTCAATTAGCAACATGTCCCTTTCGGCTGGGGGTCCGAGTCGCTGCTTGTTCAGCTCGCATCAGAGATCAAGCCAGCCTAAGTGAAGTGACAGCAAGCAAGAGAAAAGGGTAAATGAAGTGTGTGTGGCGAGGGGGCGGGGGTGGGGGGAGACAGCATCTGCCCCCATACAGATTTGCTTAATTGGGTTTGACTCCCACAATTACAGGGTAATAATGGCCTTTTCAACCCGGCCATGTCGAAGTGAAAGGCAGTTGCTCTGCGCACCCGCATGCTGTCAGATGGTTTGTAGCAGGGAGCGAGCGCCAGAGAGAGGGGAGAGAGAGATGGGGGGAATTGGCAATGGACTTTGGTTAAGCAGTGGTTATTGAGTCTTTGATAGGACTCCGGGAGGCCAGGCCAGCAACAATGACAGAATTAATGGGCAAGGCACGATGAGAATGTCAGCTCAGCGGGGGGCTGCTGTGGCCTTTGAGCTGCCTTCTGACGCCTCTGTGATTGTGCTCTCCACAACACTGTGAAAAGGCTTGACCTGTTTGTTGGTGGATCTGGTCTTGAATGGATTTTTTTTTACAAGCTATTGTGTTTATCATAGCGCAATACACTGGAGTTGTCTCTGAATGAGTGAGCAACGCAATGAGGTCATGATCAAGTGGACATCATTTTGCTAATGTGTACACATACAGTTGTCAGATAATGACACATTTTTCAAAATAAAACTCTTAAGCACATTGCGATGATGGAAATGGAAGTGGCACGCTAACGCAACTGTGTTTCAATGTCACCGACAACCTCTGTAGTCTCATTTAGCCTCTTGTTAGCAAAAATCAAAATAACAAGGAAACTTAGCCTATTTAACAGTAGTTTAAGATGTGTTTATCTGTAGATGTTGGATTTAGGCATGTGCAAGTACAACATTTTCATGCTACGATTACAGGCTAATCACCAAACTTCTCTGACATACTACAATAAGTGCTAAATGCAGTAAAATTACTTCACACCGTGATTGTATCAAACACATAGAACTGTGAGTCGAACATTAGCATATTGGTTGTTTTGACATAATTTTAAAAATTATTTCTAAAAGGGGTTCCATTTTCAAATAATTTTATAATCAATCTGTATTTCAAACACTAGATACCACTTACAGTTGTAAGAAAATATTGATTTGACACTTGAGTATCATGATATTGTTTTGTGATATTGTATCAGTTAAAAAAAACACTGTATGGATTTTCATGTTTAAACTACCAACCGGTTCCGACGTAAACAGTAGTAACCAGACCGAATAAGAACGAACATTTCGGTGCCTGACTTTTTTTTTTTTACCGCCCCCTGGTGTTCCGGTGTCAACTTGCGTGACGTCAGTGCCGCTACTCAGCACAGCTTGTTGAATCAGTACTGGTAGCGAGAAGATCAATGAAGATGCGAAGGCAAAACGCTGCAAAGGTTTGGCTGCATTTCACTCTTAAGGATGCAACATGAAGCAGATGCCAATAAACAATTGGGAATGCCAAGGGAAGGTAACCGTCGAATTTGATGAAACATCTGGGCACACATGGAGTTATTTTAAAGCCAAGAAGCACCCGTGTTTGATAACCTACGTCACGGCACGGCCAAGCACTTCAGCAGCCGCAGCCAGTGTCGGCTCGCCGGACACAAATTGAAGAGACTCCAGCCCTGCATTGTGGTGGTGGACATCACAGATGATAAAGATGATGACATCCGAGCCTTTTCATCTTCGGTAATCTAGTAAAATTTATGGCCAACCGCAAATCATGCTGTCAAGTAGGCTAGCAAACACGCGTTGCCATTCAACCCAGCGTGAAGTGACAAGCGTGTGGGCTATAGATCCACTCAGTGTACCGCTGACTTTCTGCTTAATATGAAACTCATAACAAGTTGTGTATGTTATGCAAAATGTTTTAAAACCTAAGTTTCAACCACAGATTCTAGCAGGCGCAATTTGCAAATTACGACAGGGACGCAACAGAATAGGTTAGTTAAGATTGTAAATTGGCTAGCTGTTGCATGACCCTGTGTCTGAGGTTACACCCTATGGGTTACCTCGATATACCGAGGTTATACTGTGTATTAAATTCTCTGCTCCAGTGTCAGATATTTCTCTGTTAAAGTAAAAGTCATAAATAATGTGAAGACAAATATGTTGAACTTTAGTGTTTTTACATTCAGTATTAAAGGGCGCCAATTTTAAATTTAATCAGAAAGCGGGTTAGTTTGATATTATGTCATGTGGAATTTTTATTTATATATTGGTTTATTTATTATGTACCAATATGGTAGCTTGTATTTATTTTGTTAAAGATTTAAGTTAATATTGGTCGTTTCAATTTGGCCCTGGAAATAAAAGGTTGTTTTTTTTGACAAAGTGTGTGTTGTTTAATTTTTTTAAGTACCGGTTCGAGAACCGTTTAAGCACCGGAACCGTTTAAAAAATACCGAGTAGGCACCGGTATCGGATAAAACCCAACCGATACCCAACCCTACTTATAATGTATTGAATATAATGTATTCAGTTTATAGATAAACTGAATGTAGGAATGAAGCATTTGACTTCTACTAATTTGGACATTTTGATCAGAGAAGTAGGATTGTGCTTCAGAAAATACAGATACAGAGAAATGTGTCATGAAAGCATCAGTGTGTATTGGGCAGCACGTCACTCTTTGTGCACAGGAATAATAACAAAATCCACAGGTCTGACACACACACACACACACACACAAAGTTTCCAGTGTGGGCCAACTTGTATGGACTTTAAAGCACACTGCTGTCAGTCATGATTAGCCGTAACGATGGGCCCATTTTGACACTTCAGAATCAAGTCTTGGCAAATAGCCCTGGGAAGAGGAGCCACATGCTACGAGATGGCTTTTCCCTGATATAATTTGTGGCTGCAAATTACAAAACAGAGGCAGAAATAATGTGTAAAGTCAAGTTTGGTGAGGGAGAAAATGGAAAAATTTAGGGCTGTGTGCCACTCTAATGGATATCCTTGTGGCTGAGAGAAAATGGGACTCAATAATATGTCCTTAATGTCTGCCAGCGCTGTTTCAGGGAACGTATCAGAAGAAATGTCCCCTGCCATTTCTGCAAGCAATCACTTAATGGGACGGGCAAATCTCAACAAAATGGATGTACTGATCTATTTCTGGGCTTGACAGATGGAATGAATCTGTGGCTCTTGGAAGACAAAAAAGAAAAAGGTAGAAGGCAAAGAAAAGAGCAGGCTACAAACAAGAAAAGATAAAAACAAGCCTTTCATGATTCATTCAGCTACGCAGCATGCCTGTAATGTTTGTGTGTGGCTTAAGTGCAGACGCTGACAGGAATTTCAATTATTTAATTAGGGAGGGAAAATGAAAAGACTTAAGTGTTGTGATTTCTGCAGTCTTTCATAGATCAATCTAATGTGCGCTCACATTGGAAATCAACCAAGATGGAAGAGGGGCAAGTGAAGTAGCGTCTTCCTAAATCACGCAATTAAAATGGCAAATTAGTTTCTTGATATATTCATTTAAGTGGTTAAGTGGAAATGTTTCTCTCCCCGTCTATGCAGCTGTCTCATGGGTGGGTGTAGAGAGGCAGCGCCATCCACATGCTCTTATGATTAGAGCCGCCGTTCATTTGCTGAGAAAACGCTGAAAGCACTTGCTGCACAAATTAGCCATTTGAAGGCTTGAAAATTCAATTCCGAGGAGTTGATTCAAGCATTTAGGCAAAGCGTGGCTGGGACGTAAAGATTTAGAAGCATTTTGCCCACTAATGTCGATAACTTTCAGAGGCCATTATAGGTTTTTGTGGCCTTGTGCCTTGTGAACGGCACAGCTGGAAAATACCAGCATTTCACACTTTTTGGCTCGTTTCGGCCACCTTCACGCCTCTATTCTCACATGATCTATGAGCTGTTTTCCTGTAGAACAGCTTTGTTGTTGTCATAATGAGGATGTTTTGTCCACAATGAAAGGTCATCTGATGCTCAACCACTTGTTCAATTAGCACGGAGATGGATCGAAGCCTCTGATTGATAGGATGGGATCTGTTAGTGGGGTATATTTGGCAAGGAGTGTATATGGGGAGAAATAGAGTGTGTCATTGAATTTATGGAAGAGATGTAATACCCTGAAAAATACAGAGAGGTAGGTAATAGAAATAAATAAAAACAGAAATTAGAGAAAAATTCAAGGACTCTGGGATTGGACTTGAAGAATGAGGATATATAATAAACAAGAGGATATACAATAAAGGAAACATACTTCTGATGATCAGCTCTCAGTGCAGGGTTTTCATGTGTGACTACAAAGGACATTTTAGATTGCTTGAACACAGATTCTGAAAATAGAGATATTGTCTTTGAATAAAAAAAAACTAAAAAAAAATAATAAATAGCTGGCAGTCATGTTTATATTACTACAAATCCTACCAATATTGCTTTTACATGTGTCTGTGGACACCATTTTCAATGAATAATGCTGAATGTTTGCAATTCTTAAAAAGATGAATCATTAAGGAACCAAATCCCAGTGTTTACTATAACCTGAGAGGCCAGGTAGTGTTGGAGTGTTATATTCTGTCAATACACCTCATCTCTTACTGCTGGAACACACTGATTCCACCTGCAGCCAGTTTATGGAAGCTTTCTTTCTTTTTTTGTTGGCAACACTCAATGCAATTGCACTTATTGTGATTTTTAGAATAAACCTTGCCTATAAAACCTTAAACAACTTTAAAACTACAATGTGTTATTTGTTTTATTCAGTCTGTAATAACAAAAGAATATTCATCATATTTTGATTGCATACTCTCACTGTGTTTATTTTTTCCTTTCAGACTTGTTGTTTCTTGTTCCTATGAATTGGTGGAAGATGTATTTAGATATTTTACCTAAAATTGAGCAATTACCACAAATTAAATACCTGCCTTCAAAATTCTGAAGTATTAGCCCTTTATGTGTGCGCTAAATATATTACATTAGTGGATTATTGTAATTGATGCATTAAAATGGAAGAATGGAAAAACATATATTTGATATGACATTAGGTATGTGGATTTTTCAAATAGATCAAAGTATGCGGCTATTGCACAGGTTTTTCTTAACATACTACTATCAATCATTAGTAGTTGCTTTTTTATTTTCTAGGCATAGATATACAGATATTCCTCATTTTGATTGATACACTCACATTCTTGACTGTTATATCATATGTAGTATAAATTCAAACTGAAAAAAAGATAATCTGTTGCTTTTTTCCTTTTCAGCATTGTGCTTTAGAGACATTTTATATATAATCCTATGGGATTAAAATAAGTGACCCCTAGTTACTAACCACTAAATACAGTATGGTACAGAAATGGCTGTAAAACTACAAACTCTAATGATACAATACATCTAATGATCTAATACAACATCTCTCTGATGTTCTACCTGGTACCAATAGTCTACCCATTAAGACAAGACAAATATATGTCGAATCAACAATTTTGATTTTGTCATGTATAGCCACATGTCTCAACAGTTTCCACAGAAGATTTTGTTTCCACCTCTAACATCATTCAGTGGGGCTTTTTTCTTTTCCTGAACACACTAAATATAGTCTTTAGTCATTAATGGGATATTAGAAGATTTGGGATATTAGAATCAGTTTTTTGCTTTGTATTGTATCTGCTGATATGATATGTATTACAATACATGGTTTACAATTCAATACATTTTGATATATTGCAATTTAAAAAAATCTAATTTTAGGAAAACATAAGTTGACTTTTTTATGCAATCAGAACAGTGGGATCTGCATTTGTATTTATAACAGTTCCTGTAACATCCAACATCATAGTCGTCAGTTTATAACACTGCTATCTAGCTTGCGGTTTAAACACAAAAATCAATACAGTGTTTTTGAGAATAGTTACAATATCGCAACACAAAATATCGCTATACTAACGATATTGTCTTGCAAACCTGATAACAACCCATGCCCCGTAAGAGGTCTCAGTTAGTAATCCTGTAACTATAAAACTGAGCGATGAATTTCTCAATAAAAGAGCTTACAGTATGAAGACAAGAAGCGAGTGTGCGGATCATCTTGCTCTGACAGCAGCTGTACATGAACAAGCCCGTGTGCAGGAGGATTTCAGACGTGCCTAAGCTTGGTGACTTTACCACAACAATGCCGGCACGCCGGCCACACACTCTTTGTAATTACTCTTGTCACATTACCTTCCCGAGTGCTGCATGAGCTCCTTACCCACCAATGATAGCACATAAATGTAGACTTTCCATAACAAAATTAATCTCTCAAAAGCTGGATGGATTCAAGAAAACATGGATTTGCTCTTCTGTCACAGAGGCATATTGTCCACTTTGATGGTGCATGGGAGGATATCAAATGCCCTCCTGGCTGCCACACTCCAGATGGAAGAAAATAGGCTGTGGTCTATAAAAATGAAGTTAGATGTAAGTACAGCACTCAAATCTCGGGGGAAAAAAATGCTTTTTCTGGGGCATTTTGTTGTAGTCAATTGGTCTGAGCAACTTGCTGTAATGCAGGTAATGGAGCTACTCTTCTCCTTTCATCTTCGGGGTGAGTGCGTGTGTGTGTGTGTCAAAGCAAAGGGAGGCCTGGCTGGATATGGGGAAGAAGCACAACAGGAGGAAATATAGCCAGATGATGGTCAGAATGAAGGAAACATCAAGTCAGAGCACAGTGGAGGGATCTGTACTGGTGTGAGCTGCTTCTTCAAACATCTACCGGCTCCATTTACCTTCAGTGCTGCCAATCCTGAAAGTGGAATTTCTACGAATGTGAAGTATTTCAACAGGAGAATGTCGTTGTGTATAATAATAAAGCACTGTAACAGATGAATGAGTTTGAATCTCTCGATTTCTAAGTCATCACTAAAAAACAGCATCATCCTTGACATCTCATATCCACAGTCTGTGTCCTTTCCTTCCATCACCAAAATAGAAAGCTACCTCAAACACTTCTTGCTATTCAGAACTGAGACCAAACACATTGTTTGTTGACTGTCCACAAATGTAAAAAAAAAGATCCAGCAGACACAGAATAAGAGCAGCACTTACTTGCGATACAGAATCTTCAACATATTTTATACTATGCACACATGCAGAGGACATGACTGAAGTAAATGGCCATTTACAAGGGAAAGCAATTAAGATATGACTTCAAATACATAAGCCATAAAAATGCATAATCAACAAGGCCTACAACAAGGCCATGGGACTGCTTCTTAAACTTCCATAAGGTTACTGCCAGCTAAATGTAGGAAACATGTCATTTGGTGTGCCAAATTGCTCTGCCGTGATACAAAATCTTATGCACAGATATATGTGCAGGCTGGAAATTGCATTATTATGGCCTTGGTCAATCCTGAGTCGAGCTTGGTCACCCACTGGAGCTCTAGTTTGTATGTGGGTGCAATTAGCTGATAACAGTCTTTATGGTATGAAGTTGCATTAGTATTAATATGTACTTATTAGACGTTGTATGTTTTTTTGCTAAGGACCTTTTTTCTTGTGTCCCTCATAAAGGTATATATATGATTATGATAGTTATCATTATTATTACTATTATTATGATTAGTAGTAGCAGTAGTAGTAATAGTAGTAATGAAGAATTGAATGTAGAATTTACAACATTCTAATTGTTCTGGCTGGACATTGTGGGATGTTTCCTAAATTCTATATGTACTGTGATTATAGATAATTTTATAGTTAATTTTAGGAAAAGCATGAATAATAGCTTTTACGTAGATTGGTACCTAAAGTGTAAGGTGTACCTAACCTATCCTACCTAACTTGTGCAAGCAGTGTATGTAGGGTTGTGGCGATGTACTGGTACTGACGAAAAATTCAATAATGATATATAGATATGTTAATATCATACTAATAATTCAGCGCTTCTTAAATAGTAAAAACATACAAACACACAATTAAAGTGAAAGACAAATTTGACTTATAGTATATTTTTTTATATTTTCTATAGAGATCGTGTAATATGGCTATTGTGAAAATATTATATATATTATATATTGTGTAGGTGGTAATATTACTGCAAATGTAACTAAAATCCATTGGAGAAAATTTACAAAAAAGAAACCTTGAATTTATTTAGTGTGCATATCAAGGGAAAAAGGTCTAACTTAATAGGCATATTTAGACTCAATGAGACTTTTTAAATAGTGTGACAATGTTTGCTTTTATAAATAGACAAAAATCAGACTGATTTCATGCCTGGCTTGCCCTGTACTAAAGCCAGTTCAGCCCTCTACTTTCAATCAAAACCATGCAGTCATCACTATTACTTCAGCTTGCCAAGCTTTGGCCATTTCTGTTTTTTCAGCAGATTCCCAAACCACAAAACTGGTGGGTGCTGATTGGCCGGCGGTCAGCCTAACCTATTGTCTCGCCGCTGTGTTTGTTGTAGCCCCAGCTTCTCCCTATTCACCCAGTCAAACGCTAGCACTATTAGCCTGCTGGAAATCTGCCTGTCTTGGCATTATAGGATCTTGTATTTTGTCAGGTAACCCTGTCTTCACAAACGTCTTCATAAAAGGGGTTGATTAAGGTAAGATGATGTTAAATTTTGTTAATTGTTTTCTTTGTGTTTTGGTTTGTTTTTATTTATTTGTGCTATTTTTTTTACCCCATGTGGAGACATCTCCAGCCCTAAGAGCTCCACACAACTCTGAATATTAGCCAGCGCATCAGAAAGGCTCATGGTTAATCTTTTTATCATTCGGCAAAAACATTTAAGATGTAGTCCCTTTATGCTACACATAAATCAAAAACAAAACAATTATTTATAGTGGAGGATGAATTGAGGAGTCTCACAGCATATTTTTGTCTTTCTTTTAAAATGTCTTTATATATAACAGTCTCAAAAGTTCCACAGAGACAAGCGTTCTCTGCAGGCGATAAGCTATCAATGTACAGATATGAATAGCTTAAGCGTTGATGTAACTGCAGCGTGGTGAACACAAAGACATTAAGATCCAGTCTCCTCTACAGAATGAAAAGTGGAGATGGAGAAAGCTTTATTTTGAACTGATTACCGCGCAGACATTGTACAACAAGGGGAAAGGATTTGTATCTATGAAATGATTGTGGGACAAACATGCCCAATATTTATCATCAGGTAAATTATCAGCTATTTTACTGGAATATGAGACATTTGAAGTGAGAGTTGAAGAGTTTCTGGGAAAAAGGTTGAGTGATGTGACTGAGAGGAAGCCTTGAGGTCAGTCACAACCAAGGCCTTTGTCTGAATGAAAGGAAAATGTACTTAACTGCTTGTTCCTGGCAGAAAATGACTACCTGGAAGAATATTAAATCCAACTGGCTGACTGATTGTTAAATAAAATTATTAGAGTTTTCTACATCACACATGACATTGACATTCTGAGACAATTCAGGTGCTGGGGATCAAATGGATTTAAAAAGTGCTCTGGTTCAAATTGTGACAGCTGCTGGAAGTTGCCAGAGAGGATGCTCAGAGGGAAATGTGATCCAGCAGAAATACAGAGCTCTTCAATGAATACACAGAGCTCTTCAACGAGCATCCCGTTCAGGTTTCAGACATAACAAGATATATCTATCTGTCATCTTTTCCCCCCCAAAATCCCTGACAGCTCTCCATGAGAAAGAGAGGATGGCTGCAGGATATTGCATCCAGGTGGAACAATGAGCAATAAATGTATCAAGTATCAAAGCATCCCTGGACCTGATAGAGGCTGGACACGCGTGTGTGTGTGTGTGTGTGCACTGGGGGCGGGGGTGTATGTAAAGCCCATCTTCAGGGACTGATCTCCTAGAGAACAAAGTGGAGCATACACACACTGGCGACCCCGCAGCTCAATCCAGTGGAAATAATATGTTCATTACAACGCAATTACTGACACTTAGACCCTCTCTCCCTGAAGTGTGTGTGTGTAAGGGGCACTGACCGCTGATGCTAAGTGACCTTATGTTCCATTTTGTGTGTGTGTGTCTGCAGGTGCAGGATGTACAGCTTTATGGGTGGAGGGTTGTTTTGTGCAGGCGTGGGGAACATCCTCCTGATCGTTTCCACAGCAACCGATTACTGGATGCAGTATCGGCAGTCCAGCAACTACATGCACCAGGGCCTGTGGCGCTACTGTATGCCGGGGAAGTGCTTCCCACACAACGACAGCATTGGTACGTGTTAGCCGAGGAGGGACTCAAGTAGATCACTGGTTCCCAACTTGGGGGTCCAGACCGCCACTAGGGGTCACCAATGTTTCACAGGGGGTTGCGAGGTCTTCTTGATTTTAAGGGCTGCAAAAAAAAACATAATAAATAGTAATTTCTCTTATAATAATAATTATCATTATTATTATTTATTCATTATTATTATTATTTATTCATTATTATTATTATTTATTATTATTATTATTATTATTATTATATAATTAATAATAATTATTATCATTATTATTATTATTTGAAGAAAATTGTGATTTTTAACGTTTAACATTAGATAGACTTTATTGAGCCCACACTGGGGAAATTCACTTGCTACAGCAGTTCCAGATACAACACAACAGATAAGAAAAATTCATATTAAATAAATAAATAAATAAAAACAGAAAAAACACAAGATATAATAAAAATGGAAAAAATAGAATAAGAGTTGTATGTAGAATATATAAAGCTATATACAGCTTTTATACGGATACGATTGATATGGAATATTGCACAGGTAACAGGAGGAGGTAGTGGCATGGTATAAAAATAAATAATTGCACAGAACAAAAAAACATAGAGAGATATGCAGCAGTAACTTTGCGGAAAATATAATCTATATATATCTAAATATATATTGAACTGTACAGTACTAATAGTGCAAGTAGTGTATTACATAGTGCAAACAGTTTAGATTATTATTTAAGATATAAATAATCAAGAGCCTTGCCCTGCCATGCTGCTGCAGAAAAATACATAGTTAAAACAACCAAACAGCTAATAGAACAATGAGAAGCAAACACTAAATTTGTCAAAAAGGAAACCTATTAAATATGTATGATTGTAATAATAAATAAAATACACAATACATACAGAGAATTGTATAAAAAGTTACGAAAAATATCAGGAAAACTCATCTCTGATCAATATTTACAGGAAATAATGTGCTCAAAATGAATCCAAATCTCTGGTTATACACCTTCCTTCCTGCAGTTATTACATCTTAATGATTGTAAAGGGATCCTTTACAGAAAAAGCTTGGGAATCACTGATGTAGATGATGAGGAAAGAATTACCTTTCAGTTTAGCTCTACAAACATTTGTGAAAGATAAAGCTGTTCCAGAGCCAGGAATCATTTCATTGACTGAAGTAAAGTTCAGTGGGTGGAGCCAAAGATTCAATGTTTTTCAAAGCTAGAAAAGTTGTTGCATTTTGTAATATTTAAGGTCCAGTGCGAGAATTTAGTGGCATCTAGTGGTGTAGTTGCAGATTGCAACCCCTCACTTCGCTAAACGCTAAAGCCCGTGACCATGAAAAAGTTTCTGGGCTACTGTAGAAACATGGCGGTTCAACATGGCGGACTCCATAAAAGAGGACCCACTCCCTCTGTGAATAAAAACAGCTCATTCTAATGTAACAGAAACTACTCTACAATTACAAAATAATAATGGCTATCCTATATAGTTACACTGACATGGGAGCACTGTGAGCAGCACTTAATAATGTCTTTATATTTTCTATTATATCTTTGTAATATTTTTATTTTATTATTCTGTATAGTATTTTTACACTTCTGTACTTTTTGCACTACATTTACCCTGTCAACTTGAATTTCTCTCACAGGGGGGTCAATAAGGGAGCATCGTATCTTATCTTATTTAGGATTTCCATTTGTGATAAAATTAGTAATTTGCTATTTTTTTTCCTCAAAGAGGTCCATCCTTCATCATATTGGCTTGTTAGCATGGCCTGAACAGGGTCACGTCATTCAAGTCAGATCCTTCACCTCTGTTGACTCACGCTGACCCCAGCAGTGACTCCTATTGACCTTTGACTTTGTCCACAGCCCACTTAGACGCCACCCGTGCTCTCATGATCCTCTCTCTTTTGGCCTGTTTCATTGGCATCATCATTGGCATTATGGCCTTCATCCACTACTCCTCCTTTGACAGGTTTGACAAAACCTTTGCTGCAGGCATATTGTTTTTCATCTCATGTAAGTTCAACTCTATTGGTTTTGTACTGTGTTGGTTTTCTGTTTGGTTGGTTTTATCTGAATTGAATGTTACCACCATAGATTGAGACTCAAAGCAGGTTTTTGAATAGTAATAATAATGTACTAATCATGAACTAATGACTTTTTAATGACTCCATTATCAGCGCAGTTTCACAGCAAAGCACAGCAACTTGTTATGTTTATAAGTCTTCATTCATGACTGAGAGGTTTTATTAAGACTGTGTTTTTATGCTTTGTTTTGCATAATTAGCACTGGCCTTTATTTAGTATTAATAATATACTTTGGTGTTGTTTTGTCACTACGAATCAATCCATTCTCACAATGAAATGAAAGCAGAACTTGTTTAACTGAAAACTAGATAAGAAGCCAGTCATAAATGTTGCCCATTTTACAATCTTTCTTTACATTTTGAATTTCATTTTTATCCTGCACAGGCTTTTTAGTGTTTCTAGCGATGGCAGTGTACACTGGTGTGACTATTAACTACTATGGGAAACGCTATGGAAACTGGAGGTTCTCCTGGTCCTATATCATTGGCTGGGTGTCAGTGGTGCTCACCTTCTTTTCAGGTAAACATAGAACCCAACAAACCAAAGGTTCCATCAGAATCTGTCATTTGTCAGGGTTAAGTCTGAAATTCAGCTCTGATCGTTTTCTGCTAAATGTTAACTTCTTTTCAAACTATAACCTTGAGTGGGCTCCTGAATAAGCAACTAATGCACTCAGTGAAGTGCTTGGAGAACATGCTGTATGAAGTCACGGCTGGCAAGGGGCTCACAATATTTTATTTATTTATGATTCATTTTACACTATATCTTCATGAAAATTCAAATATAGTACAGCAGATAGGCCTGTATCCACCTCTATGTATTGTCAAGGCCCCCACTACTCATGCTGCATGTACTGTGTGTAATAAAGAAAATTACAGTATGTGAGTATGTAATATTGCACATACAATACAGCGAGTGACTTCCTCAGCAGAACACAGTCAGAGCATACATGGGTTAACCCATAGTCTAGCAGCTGGATCAATTATCAGTAAGTGATGCTTGTAGTAAGTGCTCATCTCTGAATCCTTCACCATGCTGTGCAGTACCTGCTGCTCAGCAGCCTTTGCACTAAACTGAATATGGAAATGGTTTAAAGGGGAACAGCATCCATATGCTGAAAATACCACAATGTTCAACTGTTTTGCTGAGACTGAAAATATCAATAACAAAAATAACAAAGTAGTACAATAACTATAATACTTCAGTGATGGCGAGTTACAATACCACGATACACGCCTCTATGATAGTTTTCCAAATTTGCATGCATTAATTGTCTGCTACATAGACTCAAAGAATGACATAAAAAGCCAATTTACCAATGTGATTTTTTGTTTTTGAATGAAAAACATTCAATAACTAGTCACTGATGATCAAGGCCCAAAAATAGGACACACAGAGTGCATATTGTGTGTACAACAAATATATAGAACTGCACAATTTCAAACATAAGCATACTTTATATGTCCCCAAAATTCAGTAAATCACGCACATTGCTTCTCCTTTTACTTAATCCATGTCAATTCAAGTTACATTCCTGATGGATAACAAAGACCTAACCTCTCTTTGCTTCCAGGTATCTTCTATATGTGTGCCTATCGGATGCATGAATGCCCCAGGAGTGCTAACTCTCATTAGAAGAATTAGAGCATCATCCAGAAAGAAGCCATGGATTATGAGTGTGTAGATTCTCACCATCAGTGTGGATGCAGAGTTGCGATCAAAGTTTAAATGATTTCAATAAAAGAGTGGGAAAACATGGCTTTTGTATTTTTATTTAGACACATGTGCATGTTCGACTTGATTTCTTTGGGTGATTTTTCGTTACAGTCAGTGGTGTAGTGCAGGTATACGCAGCTATACTATACATATATTTTTTTTCAGTCAGCATTGGGTATACCCACTACTAAATCTGCAAGGTGAATTATTTTTCCTAGAATGGCGAAGGCATGACATAGTTATATTTCATTCAAAAGTCATATGTAGTTTTCTCACCCTGTAGTCTGTGGGCCAGTATTGATTCTTTTGTGGCTAATGTTGATTTAATAATGATCATTGCTGCCTCAAACAAGCTGCAGAAGTTAAGTAACAATGTGCAAATACTACTGGTCCCTGTTGGAGTGACCAAACTACAGCAAGACCTGTCACTGTTTATAGAATGAGGTGTTTATTCATTGCTGGATGGGCTGGGTTTCTTACAAAATTAGGTACAGACCAGTCTGCAATAAAAAAAACACCTTGAAAAACAAAAACCTAAATGTAATTATGTCTGAACACACATCTACATATATTACAAAAGAAAAAAATAGATTTTTTTTTATTTGAAAACTTTTTCATGATAATTTGTTTTTTGATCTATGGGGCAAATAATGGAGAAAGAAAATACACCCTAATATGCCTATGAAAACTATTCTAATCCATCGTTATGCAGGAATTGAACGTTTTATCCCTAACAATTGCTGTGAATAGTTTTTAAAGCAATATTATTGGAAAAAAGTCTTACTAAAGATATAAAATACCATTAATCAAGATTCTGTTACTAAAAGTCGTTGTTTTAAGCTTTAAAATAAACAAACGGTATTTTTTATATTACAGAAATACTAGAGGAGGAATGCACACACAGTGTGGATACATACCTTTCTGCAAATATATTTTGGGGGGGGGGGTCCCTCTATTGCTTTGCTTTTTCGCTTTTGAAACTATAAGCCTTTTTTTACCCAACGCACTACTGCAGAGCTCTTATACAAACGTGCCACTTAACGGAGTGACGCACCGCCTGGCCGGCTCAAAATCTTACTTAATGAAATGGCCACAAAAAGCCGCTTAACCGCGCCTCAAGAACGGATCCTAAAGACGATTTCATCACCATTTGTTTCATTTACTTTCTAATTTCCCCCTAAAAGCAACTTGTTATCCTGGTGCGCTCTATAAAAGGGATTGACGCACAGCCAGGTGCACCTCCATCTGCTTTGGCCATGTCTTTAAAAGGTCTTTTCTTTCCTGGTGCTATTCTTTAACATCACCCAAAAAAGCCAATATAAGTGTTTTAATGTATTTTGACTCCTGGAATCTTATTTTTATGAGAAATCTGCCAGAGAAAATAATTTGATTTGTCTCCTGAATGATTTTTCAGACTAATCCATGATGGAAACGGACAGAATCTTACTGTAAGAAGAAGAATGTAATGGCTTTTTAGAAGCAGCTTCATTTGTGAATGAGTTATTATAGAGCACTGGTGTACAGTCCCCGCCGTGCCAATAGGTGTTTGATTTGCAACCATCCCGCTAATTTACATTTTGACACGTCCATTTAATACAAACCTATGCAAACTAATGCAGCAGAGCGGCGCTTTTTCCAGCGTAACTGATTCCCAGTAATTAATTTGTTCTCCCTCCATCTGATCAAATGGAAATCCTGTCCTCCAGCCAAAGGATTACAACTTCCGCTCTAACATCTCCCTTAATTGCCTAATAGCATTGCAGCGTGAATTCTGCCTACATTAAGACACTTTCGCATTAAGCGGCCTGATTGGAAATGTGATGACAACACCATATCAACAAATTACAGCGCAACGCTTTCTTTGGCAAACGGGCACAGGAGCGGCACTTGTACTCTCCCAGATTTTAATACCGACAATTACAGCCAATTTGGGCGAAATGACTAGACAGACCTGTAGCAGAACAATCCTCCTGTGACACAGGCTACATCCCCTGATTCAGAAAGCACCAACATGGAGGAAGAGTGCAGAAGTTCTCCGAGTGAACAATTACTAACACTGTGTGGTCGCGTGTTCAAGTTTGCAGACAAGTCAATATAAAGTTTTGTGTCAAAGGCCATCATCGGGTTGATAGAAAGTCATTCTGAACAGGGGTGGATCCAGAGAAATATTCATGGGTTGTCCAGAGGGTGGCATGGAGATTTTAATAAATATTAAATAATAAAATATTGATATTATCAATATAATGTCTATATTCAACAGCTCACCAGTGTAAAGTCTGCAGGGTAAAGGTAATATTCTTAGCAGATTAATTCAATTCAATTCAATTNNATATCTGCTGATTTAATCACAAACAATCACATATATCAATATCCCCCAAATGAAGATATCTGAACTCAAAAACATTATTGTGGCACATTAATACTGAATAGAAATATCTAAAGGTTTATTTCCAGATTTATTTCTAAATACATGTCTTTTTTAAATAGATCTTAATCACTTAGTCTAAAATGTGGCCATAAGAGAACAGTACATTAATTGTACATTACACTAAACTGGGACAGATCCGCCCCTGAAGATAGATGGAAGTGGGACAATACGCTGCATCATATTTATCTTTACTTCCATTCCTAAAAATCAACAACGAGCTCATCATAAGAAAGTATGAGATTTAAAAAAAAGGGTTATGACACGACTATCGGGGGCGTGGCCAGGCCATATTCAACAACCTGGAAATAGATGTAGCGTTCTGAAAAATGTTTGACTGATGATAGTTTGAAATTGTAACCTGCAGCCGCCGTTAAAAGGTGATCTTTATTATTATTAGTGTTGTTGTTTATATTATCATTGTGTATTTCATTCATTAGGCCTATACTTGAATAACCACTGAATGTGTTTTAAGTGTCCTTGTTTGACTGCAGATTCATCTCTGTGTTTAGTGTTTTTTTCTTTTTTCTTATGTAGAGCTCTTAAGCTATTTAGAATAGTATTACAACGGGCTGAGACGTTTGGATCATAATTAAAAATGGCGCAGAAGGTAAATTATCAGAAAGTGTCCCACAGTATCACATATTAACTGTCGAAAACTTCCATAAACTATAAATATAGATATATAATTACACAGCGATGCCACAAGAAGTAAAAAAATGCTTAGACTGGATGAAATGCAGACAAATGTGCAAATATGTGTTTTATCGACCATGTGCAGGATCGTAGAAACACTGCAAAACTCACACTGACTAGTATGAAAACGGATTATTTTGTGAGGACAAATAGCTACACTTCATATTTTGTTTCAGTCACCACTGTGCACCAGGTCTTACCATGGCTCCTTCCAGTAGTGTGAAATAGTGAAAAATGCCACCACAGCAGTAAACGGAATTTTTTATCACCGCCGGACTACACCAACTAGCCAACAACATGTGACTGTTAAACAGTGAATGAGCAACATACTGCAGCTTTAATTCTGGCTGCAGGGTGTGGACAAACACACAGACATTGCGATATGATCCACGATTATTTGGAATGATCGTTTTTGCTTCACAATTTTCATTTTGACTGAAATAAAAACACTAAAACATGACATTTGTTGCAGTCTGTAGCAAACAAACATGCTTTCTTACACCTGGAACATTTCTGCAGCTCTACTTCATTACAATGCTATTAAACAATCTGGATATTGCACTTTAACACAGCCTATTGTTATTTCAATAATATTTCCATTCATTGTTCAGCTCTAGTTTAGATACATCTGCTTTGTGTTCATAATTGCCGGAATGTAACATTCAATACTAATTAACTGTAGGCTATTTGACAAACTGTATTTGGGCTAAATGAAGAACCCTTCTTCCACGAGGCCATTGGCGAAACAGCCCGGTTGCTAGGCGACCGCATAAGCACCACCACGAGCGGTGATTCTCGGTTGGGTTTTCAGTCCTGTTCAGATGAACGCTGATGCTGTCACAGGTGCGCTGCATCTCCGGAATCTGTTTGTTTCTTCTTTTTTTCACGACCAGCCTCGAACGCGTCTCAGCCAATCAGAAGGAAGAACGGCCCCCCCACATCTCTCATCCGTCCATACGCAGCTCTAATTGGCTGACGAGCAAATCAATTTCCCCCAATCCGCTACTCTCTCTGAATAAATAGTTGTCGGAAACGCGCCCTCCCACTGATCTCTGTGTAATGCTCGGCGTAGTGTCATTCACTGATCACACACAGGGGCTGCATTTAAGCCTGGGAGACCTGGGGGGAGAGCTAGGTGCTGATGCGGGTTTAAAAAGCGAGGAAAACAAGAACAAACTCCCCAAAAACTACCATCATGAGTATGAACTACGCGTCTGCGGCGCCCACGCAGAGGTCCACGTCGTTTTTCATTGAGGACATCTTATTGCACAAACCTAAGCCGCTGAGAGAGGTCATCCCCTCGCCGTTCTGCGGGACCCTCGCCTCCCGGATGCCCATCCTCGAGTACGGATACCCGCTGATGCCGACCCCGATACTGGCGCCGCATCCGCACCATCCTCTCCACAAGCCGGAGCATCACCAGTACTTCTTCACATCTGGTAAGCGTGGGAGAGCCGGTGGGGCAGAGGAGCGGCCTTCAGTGAGGAGGGAACTTGTGTCAAATATGGACAAGCTATAAACTCTATACTTACAGACATAAACGCATTGTTGCCTATTTAAATAGGAAAGCCAGTGTCAATGCCTCTTAATCTCTGGGCTAACATTATATTACATATATCTTCATTTGTACTGATAATCTCCTGGTTGAGTCTTGTCAATAACAATGTGCAATAATCAATGGACAATAATTGCTGTGCAATCTATTGCCCATGTGCAAACTGCTGCTAGTGTTTGTGTTATTGTGTTATCTGTTGTGGTTTCTTACTGTTTTTTTTCTCTCTTGTACAGTGTTTATATTATATTATTTTATTTCATACTGTTCTTATACTGTTTTTTTTTCTCTATCCACTTTTGCTGCCGTAAGATTGGAATTTTCCCCATTGTGGGACTATTAAAGGAATATCTTATCTTAGTTGAACAGGAAATAACAAGCACTGCACTTTATTCGGTTCGAGTTGACTGCATGTGTAAAACTGATATTAGATAACACCTTTTTCATCTTAATTTATGTCTAATTATTGGTGCACTAAATCATTCTGTCTAAATAATAATGAATTATGGATTTTACATTCACAAAAAAATATATAGGCTATTTCTTTATCACATAAATCACCAAACGCCTCATCAGCTGCAGTGAACTTCTATTTGCTGCGATATGTTAAGAGTTTTTGTTTGTTTGTTTTGTTCCCTGTCACCTTGCAGGGATGCAGATGCCGGCCCTGTTCCAGCACCACGCGGAGCTACCGGGGAAGCACTGCAGACGCAGGAAGGCCCGGACGGTGTTCTCCGACTCGCAGCTGTCCGGCCTGGAGAAGAGGTTCGAGATCCAGCGGTACCTGTCCACCCCGGAGAGAGTGGAGCTGGCCACGGCGCTCAGTCTGTCCGAGACACAGGTACACACACACACACACGCACACACACACACACCTGAAAGCACCGGGCTAGAACAGGATGCATCAATGTGTGATGCCTTTGTGTGGGGCAAATGGGGTTCCTCAAATAAACAAATAAACAAACAAACAACAAAAATACACGAATAAAAAAGATAAATAAATAAAAATCGCCAAAATGTTATTTATATGTAGCTATTAAATATACTACAGAGCATAAAGATATATGCAACAAACGAGAGCAATTCATTGTGTTGTTTCACCCTGAAGATTTAATAAGGTTTATGTGTACTAATGTGAGTTAAATATACTCAGCTGATATTTCAAAATGTACAGGTCACTCTAAATACACAATAAATCCTAGATTTAATATAGCCTAATCTTTATTCCAATTTAAAAACAAACCAAGATAAACATTTGAATAATTTTGCTTTTATATTGATCTTGATTTTTGGATTTGTGTAGCTCACAGGCCAATATGGGATACATTAGGGATCCTTTCTATAATAATTCACACCCTTCTGACCCATCTCCAGGTAAAAACGTGGTTCCAGAACCGGCGGATGAAGCACAAGAAGCAGCTGAGGAAGGCGCAGGACGAGCGGAAGACGCCCGGCGAGCTGGAGCGCTCCGCGGATAACTCGAGCGAGAGCGAACTGAACGACAAGAGCGCGGAGGAGCTCAAACACGGACTGGAGGCGGACTCGTACATGCTGGACGAGAACGACGACGACGACGTGGACATCGAGGACGACATTTGCTCCCCGGACCATCTACTATAGTAGGCTGCAGAGCCGTTTTGTACCCGGCGGCGACCCTCACACTGTACATGTACTGTAGATAACACTGACTCTCTTTCTCCTTCCATTACAAATATATAACTCACTGTTTTACAAACGTATTAACAATGTTAATATTTATTCACACATGCAAAGTGGGCCCATTGATTTTTTAAAGTTGCCCCTTTTACTCTATGTATAGGCTGAGAATTTTCGTATTGTTATGTCTGACAAAACATATTATTATTATTATTATTATTATTAGCAGCTAATATTACTAAAAAGTCTACATTTGTCCATTTTGAAATGTCACTCCATTTTAAGCGGACATTCTGTACAGATGATTATAAATAGGCCTAATGGATGCTTTGGAAGATATAGATGCATCACGCTGCCCCATCCTTTTTGCACTTTTATCCCAAACGAATTTATCTATTCTACTCTTTTACTGTTATTATTAATATTATTTTTCAACTTGTCTACTTCTGATATTTTATTTGTAGTTCTGTCCATATTGTTGGAAGTTTTGTAAATCAAAGACACTGTGCTTCAGTGGCTGCCATTTATATTTTGTCTGTAAATATATATATATAGTATATGAAGCATGAATCGGCTCTGTTTATTCTTTATTAATGAAATAAGCAGCAATAATGCATTATTTAAGTTGCACGTGTGGTGCCGTTCTAACGGCCAGGTGTTGGGAGTTCTTTGCTCGGCTGTTGGAAGCACACAGATTCGGGGGCAGTGTCCACAGCGTGGAGCTTTAGTTGTGAATGCGAGGGCTGCTTGTTCTCCACTGGCTCTCCTGCGCGGTGGCTCAGAGCCCGCTGTGCTTTAAGCCAACAAACCAGAACGCAAAAGACAGACAGCAGACATTACACACAGTCAGCCGCTGTCAGAGACTTACTCCCACCACACTGCCCGGGAATATGAAGGTTTGTATGTATTCCTCACTAAAGTGATCATTTCCAGTCTCTTCATGAGGATATTTCTAGTTAAATTAGCTGAGAATGAATTTCATTTGTGAAATTATCTTTATTAAAAAGCATTTGCACAGCATAAGCTGTTTCTAATATTTGTACATGTTTGGATCATTGCTAGGAATAGGCTACTCAAGCCTGTGTCTTTCTGTGGTAAAGGCTTAATGGATGTGTTTAAATGCTCAGATTAAATGGACAGATAGAAATGCTCTTGCAATCAAAATAACTGTTTTTCAGAATAAAATAAATAAAAAAGGATTCCAGCAGCAGAGCTATATTGAACACCTGTTTATGGCAGAAAAGTGTCTCCGCTAAAACATTTGGTCCTACAGTAGAGTCACTAATCCAATAGCCTTCTATTTTTCACGAAAAAGTAAGTTTTTTTATTTTATTTTTTGAGTCACTGCAGTCAACAGCACTGTTAATAAATTAATAGAGGTATCTATTTGACCTAAAAAACGTTATTGTCACCCAAAAGCGTGAGAATTTAATATTGCAAGAAATAAAATATGCTGAAAGTATAGTTTTAAAAAATGTGCATCTAATGTATTCCTTATGCTAACATAAATCTTTAATATAGAATCCACTGTCTTTTCTTTTTCCTTTTATAAAAAAAATCAACTAGCCCAAATTCAGTTGAGTACACATTTATTACACATTTAATTGCTGCAATAAAAGACAACTTTCTGAACATTGTTCATGGAAAGAATGGAACAAAACAGCAAAACCTCAATTGAACAAAAAGACAAAACATTTTGTCATTTTATTTAAGGGTTTGTCCTGTTGAGTAATTTGGTATTATTTGGAACTGGAATTTACACTAGCAGTGCAGTATTCCTAGGGGATGCAAAAAAACAGTTTTTGCGCTATTTCAGTGTTATGCAGTCAATTCAAAGATAAAGCAATTTATCCAAGCTGCAGGACATTGCATCCTAATCATCTTTAAATAATCTTGATCAACAGATGTCCAGCATATCCACTAACATAAAATCCACTTTGCCACATTCGAGTGTGTGCCCTGTGGTCCATATAAAGCTACTGTCAGACTGTATGAGACTGTGGAGGCAGGTTCATAAAAGAGCTATCCTCCTTAGTGCGTTATACTAAACTATTGTCCATTTCTTATAACAATGGAGGGCGGTAAAGTATTAACTAACTATTAATTTAAAAACATGTGTGCAAGAGCCACACACATGCACATTTTAGAATCTTCTTACATGTATTAAATTGTTTTACCACATGCATCTCCCACTGGGCATTTGTCTTTCATACAGGGTTTCCTGCCTTTCGAAAAGCAATTCATGTCATCAACAAAATGTGATTCTGATTATCAGGCAGCGGGGGAGAAAAACTATGTGGAGAATAGGCCATGCAGAAGGTGATCAATTAAAAGATTAAGCGTTTTGCAACACATGGACGCATCTGCATTTGGCCCTAATAGCAGGGCCATCAGCTCATTTTCAGGAAGCCTGCCGCCTACTGAAAGCGTGCTTCTCACATCAAAGCATCCACGTCTGCCTTAGCTTCCCAATGGGCAGAAAGGGATGCTAATTTGGCCCCCTTCATGTATAGCGGTGAAAGACTCCTTCAATTAACTGGATTTCAATGGCAAAAAACGAGTAGGTGGGACCTAAAAAAGATGCAAAGAGACTCAATCTGGATAGGCAGGGTTTCTCATTAAATTAAAAAGGGCTCGGCCATTTGTTTCCAACCGTGCATCTGAGGACTTAACACTAAAAACACAGAGCTTCAAAGAGTCCATGATGGGTTAAATAGAGACTATAATCTAATTAAAATATTGCACAGAGGTAAATCGTGCTTTGATAATGATCTGAGGGTTCAATTAGTAAAATGAGCTGCTTGAGAGTGTTTTGTGTTGGGGAGGAGTTACTACTAAGAACATGGCTACAAAACTAGAACCAAATCAGGTGAGCTTAAAAGTGTCATCTGTCATTTGAGCAGGATTTCCTACACTGAGGAAGGAAATTTAATCTGACACACAACGACAAGTGTGTGGATTAGTGTGTAATGTGGTGAGACAGGGTTTCTGCAGGTTTCAACAGGTTCAATTTAAGACTTTTTATGACCATTATGAATGTAATTTAGGACAAAGTACATAGGATATGAAGGAAAACTGGTGTTTGTTCCATGTCAGTTTCATACTCTAGTTCTTACAGCATGATCAGTGCAAATTTTTCCCTAAAACACATTTAAAAGCGAGAATGAAAATTACAACTTCATTGATCCACCTGTCTAAATCACATTTAAGACATTTTAAACAGTATGTCATTTCTGCTGCTTGGGGTTTTCTCAAATCCAAACAATAACAAAAGATGAAGTTCAGGGAAGTTGTGAAGTTGCGTGGGATCATGGGAGTTGTTGTCTTCACCCAATTATCTACAGAGGTGTCCTCCTCTCCAAAACAAACAGACCTGCTGATTAAAACCACTAAACACACTGAATAAAGCAGTTCCACCTTAAAAACCAC